CCGCGGGAAGCCCGCTTCTCCCTCTCCCACTCCCCCTGCTCGTGTTCCCTCTCTCGCTGTGTCTCTCTCTGTCAAAGAAATAAATAAAATGTTCATTTTTTAAAAAAGAAGCGATTAAATAGTTTAATAACCAGTTCTGGTGTCTGGGTGCAGACTCACTGGATGTCACTTCTGCCTGGTCATAGATGCTGGCCTCAGGGTGAATAGAGGGAGGTATTCTGGACTCTGAAGGAACGGGAAAATGTAGGGCTTGCCCTCCTAGTTCCTGGGGGTTGCCCTGAGGCGTGCTCTTTGCCCTGCCCTTGGGATCCTACTGTCAGCTTTTCTCTGAGCAGCTCATAGGCTCTGGGCTGAGCAGTAGTCAGTTGGCAAAGGGGTATTGAGCCCTCACTGTGCATTTGACAACTTTCCAGGTATTATGGAGGTTCCTTGAGATTCCTTTTTGTTAGGGCCCGGGCAGATGGAAGTCATGCTGAAAGACCATTAACAGAGCAGGCTCTGGCCATTCCTGGCAGGTCTACAGGACTAGTCAGCGTGGTGAATGGCAGACAGACAGAGTAGGTCCTCTCGAATTTCCACATCCTCCCCATTTTATCAGTTATAAAAATATGGATATGGGTACCTGGATAGATATGGTACAGTGGGTAGGTAAAGATATTAGTTCACATCTTATTTTCTTAATTGGTTTGAGAACATCCTGACCTTTGGTTCTGGGTTTGAGGCCAGCTATGGTTTCACAGAGACATTTCTTCTTAGGGTCTGTGGTTAACTGTGTCCGCAATCCTTGCCTGTGTCATGCTAGGCAGAAGCGTCATCCTTGGAATAGGCTGAGAGCTGAGAAAAGAGGGATCTAATTTTTACCACAGCTTATACCCCAGGAATAAGACTGGCAGTTCTTGAATGGAGGGAGTTGTCCTGGAGGTGTCCTCTGGTGATTTTTCTGGCTGGGCTTTTGCTGGGTAAAGGGCAGGAAGGGGTTCATATGGTTTAGTAGTTCATCTATCCCAAAGCTACCGGCTCTGCTTTGGTCCTGGCCCTCCTCCTTCCCCATTCTGACAAGTGGCTAACTTTTGGGAATAGAATGGAGGCCACTGAGTGTGAGCCCACCCAGGAGCAGAAGAGTTTGGGGTTCAAGCAGCCACCCCTTTGTGGGGCCTGCTGCCCTTCCTGAGGCCCCTCCTTAGCAGCTCACAACCACAGGCCTATCTTGGAAGGGCTGTGGCAGCCTGGTTAGTGCCGCTGTTTTTATAAGCTAATGAGGGCAGAGTGTGAGCCACGGGCAATGATGCTGGGATATTAACTGTGACAGGAAGCTTGATCATAATTATCTTAACGAGGATAGGGTTAATTACAGTGGAAACTTAAAAGTTCTCTCTGTTTGAATCCGCTAGAGCTGAATGCATTGTGATGTTTTGTCATTTTGATATGACTTTGGAAAAGGCACTGGGACTCTCCCAGCAGCCACAGCGGCTCCTGGGGGAGCCCAGCCTGAGAGCCCTGTGTGTGAGGTAACCTAGATGGTACCTGTGGGTGAGATCAGGGGCAGCTTTCCTGCTGGGGAAGTGGGAGGCAGGCAGCCTGCGATGGGCTTCCAAGGTGCTTATTACATTCCCCCCCCCCCCCCCCCCCCCTCCCAGGACAAACCACCTGCCACAGGGCAAACCGCACACACCCGGGTCTGCCTCCCTGCCCTTGGCGTCTCTTTACTCGGCTGGGAGGACCTCTCTCCAGCTCCCTGTGCCAAGCTAGTGGGTGAAGCCTTGCCCTCCCGCTCCAAGCCCCTGTCCACGGCAGACAGGTCTGCCTTGCCTCCCCAGCCCAGCCCAGCCCGGCCCTCAAACGTCTATCTGCAGACTGCAAACCAGGCTGGGGAGGAGTAACTCTCAAGTGACAGTCACCCCCTGTACCAGAGCTCTTAGGTCTGGGGTGCACTTTGCTGTCCACACAGAAGGTGACAGCAGAGAAACTGCAGACCCGTCATCTTTCCTTGTAGCTGCCCCATTAAACAGCATGGATCTGTGTGGATCCTTAAAGCCTTGTTTGTCTTGTCATTTTATTTAATGACCACACACCTCTTTGTACAGGCATCTTGTATATAGGGCTGTGAACGCAAAGATTGATGCAAATAATTTCTTTCCTCTACTCCTTCCATGAAAACAGCAATAACCATAACAACAGAAGTCAGATTTTTAAAAAGCAAAAAATAAAGCATCCCCCAGGTACGTGTTCATTGGCCTCTGCATGCCAGCCAAGCCCCAGAAATCCTGTCCTCTCCAGTTTTACCCTTCACTACCCTGTCTCCTGTCCCCAGTCCCTCAGCTCTGAATTTAGCTGATTAAATCACCAAGTGCACACTACACTGATGACATGAAGACAGGGATTTATTAATTAGCAACCGCCCACATAACACGATTCTCTTTTAACTGAGCAGCTAATAACATTACATGGCAAAAAGAGTCTTAACAACCAGACAGGTGACAGGGGATTTGAGCCTCAACTTGCCTGGCTCTTCTGTGAAGTCTCACTCAGAATGGAACTCTGCCCCAGAGGCTGCCCCTGAGAAAGGCGGCTCTGTGGGCACTCCCTCTGGTGTTCTCCACTTTGTCCCTCTTCATGCTGTGTCATTTTGTGTTTTGCCTCCCCCAAAGCACTCTTGGAAGGGAACTTTCTTTTGCTTGCCAGTTGCCAACCATTTGCTGATTCTCATGATAAGAGTATTATATTTGCATAACATAACTCGGGAACAATGTGTATTTGGATGCTGCCTTTGACCAGAGCCCAACTGATGTTTGTGCACAAAGGACTTATTAGCCATCCATAAGGCGCCCTGAAGGGAGGTGGCCTTAACTCCCCTTGTGGTAAACAGGGCCTCTTCATCCTGAAAAGCACTTTCGGATCATCACTCATTAACCCCCATGGAGGAAGGAACTTCAGGAAAAGTCGAAGTTTCCCTGCAGAAGCCAGACTGGCTGCACACCTTGGCATATTTGTTCATCTGTCCACCCCCTGCATCCAGAACATACCCACCCACCCCCCCACACACACTAATACACCCTCTAAGGTCACAGCTACCAGAAAAATCAATGAATGAAAGGAGGAAGGAAAAGAAAGGAACCAGCATTTGCTAGTGACACGTTAGTCTTTTGCTTGTATTCTTTAAGATCCTGTGAGCTGGAAGCCACACAGAACGAACGAGGGAGCTCAGCTGGGTTATTGATGTGCCCAAATTCATACTTCAAAGTAAATGGTAGAGTTGAGGTAAAGTCCCAGAGTCCCAAGTTCCATGTGTGTGAGTTGTGTTTTGCCTCCCTGATACATGAGGAAGAAATGAAACACAATAACCCCATTGACCCTTACCCTCAAATGTTAAGCGGTATCACCTTCCTACTGTGGAGCAGGTAGTGCTGGTCTTAGGAGTTAGGGGTGGTCAGGGTGCTGGGCGGTGGGGTGGGGTGGGGTGGGGCCTGGGGGTGAATCAGGCAGGAATGGAACCTGCTGAGGGAGCTCTGGGCACGGTGGAGTCCGGGGGTTCAGCGACTCACAGCGCACATTACACCTCCCTGGCATTGACTCCCTATTTTGGAGTCGGCTGGGCAGAGGTCCCACAAGGGAGATGCAGCTGTCCGGAGAGAGCCTTGGTGCTAAAGTTCACACTCACATCAGTTGTGCAGGCGCTGCACACACAAGCAGGCGGGTCTGTAATGGACATGCTATCAGTAAATGAATGAATAGTGTAGACAACATCTCCCTGATTCGTCACATTTTATAGAATAGCCAGGAGATCCCGTGTGAGTCCGCCCTCTGGTCGACTCGTAGCTCAGCTGTCAGCCTGTGCAAGCTCAGCACGACTCTAGGGTCTGGCAGGTGAACGAGCTGGGAGTATGTGCGTCTGTGGAAGTCCCTCCACTGGGCGGCTTTCCTCAATGAACGTCTGTGAGCGGCCCGGAGAGCACATGCGCACAACTGCCCCTCACCGCCGTCACCCCCGGCCCCCCTCAACACTCCTGAGCCCATAACGTTAAGAGTTAACTTTCAGCTAAGTGTAAAAACAAGGCAATTTTTTCCCTTTCTGGTACTTTTTTTTCCCCCTGAGCCGGTGCTTAATTCTTTCAGATGCTTGATTATTTACTGCCTTGACATCTACATTGCTGCCATTCCACGCTTCTTTCAAAAATAAAGTGAGAAATCCACTTTCCATAAATTAAAACCGTAACTTCAAGTCAGGAGTATTGAAACAGAAATTCCCCCAACTCCTTCCTTAAATCACCGCCCCCCCCCACCTCAACGAAAACAAAAAAAGAAAAATCATGAAAGAAAAAGAGCGCTCTCCGACTGGAGTGATCATGTTCTACTGCAGATGCCTTGCCTTCTGGGGGCAGCCACAGGGACACTGGGCAGAAGCAAATTAAGTGATTAGTAAAGAAAAGAGGCGGGGCGGGGGGGAAGTCAAAGGCAGCAAAAGGAGAGAAAGGAAGCCTTCCTTGCCTTTGCCCGGACTGTGCAGAGGAGAACCGCTAAGAAATGATACTTGAAGTTATATTTATTATTGTAAGAGGGGTATGATATTTCTGGGCAGGAATGATGGATGACAACTTAAATTTGTGTCCAGGGAATGAAGGTGAACTGTGACAGAGTTATTTATCTTGGGAATGGAGGTTAGGGTCAGCCAAGGCTGGGTGCCTGAAGGCACAAGACATTGACAAATTTATCCTGCAGGCCGTATCTGAAGCCCTTTGTTTTGGATCCTGGCTACTCACTAAGTGACCCTCATCCTTCATGTTGGCAATGCGTGAAGGATGCGGTGAGTGCGAGCGGCCCCCTCTCCCCCTCCACCCCCACCCCAGCTCCTGCTACTAATTCTTGTCATTCACTTTGCTGACAGGCACCAAGCCCAAACTATTCCCAGTCCTGAAAGGGAAGGTTAAAATATTTATTTCGGCTCATAATGGCCTCCCTGATTTAGTGCAGGATCATTTTTCCTGTTGCCTTTGTCATTGCAGGTCACTGGAAGGACTGAGCGCGTTCAGGAGCCTGGAGGAACTCATCTTGGACAACAATCTGCTCGGGAACGACCTCGTGTTGCCAGGGTTACCCAGGCTTCATACCTTAACCCTCAACAAGAACCAGATATCCTTGGCTCCTCCCGCTGCCTCCACTCCCCACCCTGCCCCGCAGTGGTCCCCGGCGGCACACCCCCCCCCCCGCCCCCGCCCCACACAAATACCTGCGAAATGTCAAATGAGTTTTATGTGTCAGCTAAATTAAAGTATGTGAAATGCAGTCCATGGGCAGACAAAGCGTTCTGTCTTCTGGCACTCGGGACACTTCAGAGTAATTTATTATAGGTCATTCATAAATGAAATGCACCATTATATCTTCCTGTTGCTCCATTTTAGTGTAGAGATCTAAGTTATGGCTGTGAAGAAATCTTTTTAATAGATAAAAATAGAGAAAGAAAATAATGTCACTGCTGCCGAGAAGGCAGAGCCGGGTTCTGTTGGCTTGGGCTTGTGTGGGAGGGCGACCTCTGGTGGAGAGTACGGAGTGGTGCCTCTAAGCGAACTTGGCCTTCACGGAGGCTTCTGGAAGGCTCTGGTACAGGCTCAGGGAACAGGTCTGGCAAAGGAGCGGGGGAAGGGGCAAAGATGTGAGATATGTGGGAAGCCCAGGCGTAGCTCTGCCCTCCGTGGTGTTTACCGTACTGCGGTGATGAGAGAGGTCTAACAGCTGAATTTCTGTTGCGTGCCTTCTCCTTAAGTCGGTGAGGACCTGGCCAGCCTGGGATGAGGCTCAGGGGGATGAACTGTTCTGCATTCTATAGAGAGGCTGAGAATGGAATTGGAAGCTTTCTGCAGCATTAGGCACCTAGCTCCTCTGTACAGTTTTGGGTCTCCCTGCTGCCACAGTGTGAGCTGAGAGGCTGGGAGTGTTGTCCGTTTTGTAAACTCCTGTATCCTTCACACCTAGAATAATGCCTGGTATGGAGCCGAGGTTCAGTGAATGTGTGACGAATGAATGAATGAATGAGTGAATGAATGAATGATTATCATCTGCTGTTCTTTATTGAGCACTCCTGTGGTCAGGCATGGTGCTGGGTAATAAATGTTAAGCATATTATTTTTTTTATTTTTACCAAAACCTGGCAGAAAGGTGTCCACTTACCTGAATGAGGAAAGAGGTGAAGTATAGACCCACAGCCAGACATTGAGCAGAATGCTAGGTCCCGGATTTAGTCTCAATGTGGCTGCATCCAAAATTCTTTCCATTCTCCTGTGTTGCCTCAGACTTGAAGTACAATCACCTTGTTTTATTAGTGAAACATTTCAGACATAGAGTAGTTTAATCACTTGTTCATGTTCACATAGTAAGTTAGAAGTGAAAAAGAGATCAGGGCATTTTCCCTAGAGAGTGAAATAAAACATATATATATATATATATATATATATATATATATATATATATATAACATTTATCATGCATGCATATGTCTGCTTTAAGAATGCTAGGCCAGATCATTTATTAGCCTCTGCTTATATTTCAAGTCATAAGACAGTATTTTCCTTATGAGGTAAAATATGCTACCGTGGCCATTATAAATTGGCACTTTAATAGAAGTAGAAGAAGAGGGCCTACAAGTAAATATCAGTCTTTTTCATAATGCAGTACTGATGGATTTTTTTTTTCCTCTCCTATCCTTTGGTCAACCAAGTTTCCTAGTCCTTATTCTAAATATTATTACAGTCAGTGTGTCTTATGGCTCCCTTTACTGTCTTAGGTGATTAATTGGATGATATTCTCAAATCAATCAAGAACAGAAGGATTATTAGAATAGAACTGGATGATAAGTTTCCTTCTTTGGGCCCCAGTACTTATATCCTGTGTCCCACACTGTTGTAAAGTGTTAGCCTTTGGACTGGGTTCAGGAGTCAGCTTAATCATGTTTAGCTATGTGGCTGTGGACAGGTCAGCCTCTGAAAGCGTCTGTTTCTCATTTTGTATGTATGTGTGACATCATGGCTTTCACTTGCCTATTAGGAGAACTGGTGAAAAAGAAAAAAGGAATGTATGAAAGCCTTATTTGAACGTTGGACTCAAAGTGCCATGATAATGTGAGCAACACGGTTTCTGCATGGCTGAAAACCAGCTGCCTCTGCCCTGGGATGTTGTCAAGTTGACAATATAAGAAACGGTGCCATGAGAAGGACTTCCCAAATAGCCCAGACACCAACCAACAAGGACTTTGTCTGGCAAATGCTGGACAAATGCTAATCCCAAACTCAATTCCTCTTCTCCCTCAGCAACTTCCTGGCCAGGTCTCTGTCGCATTAACTGGCGCATACTAAGAAATGTAAGCTCATTTCAGCACAAGCCTGAGAAAAACAATTAAAGAGGAGCACGCCAACTGTGAAAGAACATCATTTCACATAATCCTAGTTTGCAGGTGAACTCGTGGGTGGTTTTTTTAATCAACCTGTGATTTGTATAATAATCAATCAATGAAAAGTATTTGTTGGATACCTAAGTGTCCAAAATAGGTAGCTTATAGTATTACTTTCCTCTGTTACTGCTGACATTTGAGGAGACATTGAGTAAATATTGATGTAAATATTGATAATTGACAGGATACCTGATTAGTCTCATCAGGTTAGACTAATAAGTAAGATTCATGCTTCATGTGAATTTCCAAAGCATTGTTGTCTCCCATTTTAGAGGGCTCGTTTTCATAACAGGCACTGAATATGCTGAAAATGCACAGGAATCCATTCTGGATTTTTTTTTTTTAAGATTCCACATAAAAGAGAGATCATATGGTATTTGGTATTTGTTTTTCTCTGACTTATGTCACTTAGCATAATGCCCTCAAGTTTCATCCATGTTGTGGCAAATGACAAGATTTTATTCTTTATTATGGCTAAATTATATACACATATATGCAATTATAGAAATTATATACATATATACATGGCTAATTATATACAATAAATTGTATATAATTGTGTATGTATATATACACACACACACACACACACACACATATATATATTTATATACACAAAAGATGTTGAGCATCTTTTCATGTGTCTGTCGGCTACCTGTATATCCTCTTTGGAAAAATGTCTATTCAGATCTTTTGCCTATTTTTAAATCAGATTGTTTTTTGCTATTGAATTATGTGAGCTTTTCCTTTATTTTATTTTTATTATTATTCTTTTTTGAGAGAGAGAAAGAGAGCAATAACAGGGGGGGGGCGGAGGGAGAGGGTGAGAGAGAATCCTCAAGCCGATTCCCCACTGGGTGTGGAGCCCGATGCAGGGCTTGATCTCACAACCCTGAGATCATGACCTGAGCCAAAATCAGAAATCAACTGACTTAACTGACTGAGCCACCCAGGTGCCCCAGTTTTTCATATATTTTAGAAATTCCTTTTCAATTATATGATTTGCAGTCATTTCCTCCCATTCAGTAGATTGCCTTTTCATTTTTTAAATGGTTTCCTTTACTGTGTAGGAAGGGTCTCATTTTTTTCCTTTAAGTTTTTATTTAAATTCCAGCTAGTTAACATACAGTGCAATCTTACTTTCAGGTGTAGAATTTAGTGATTCATCACAACACTCGGTGCTCATCACAAGTGCACTCCTTAACCCCCATCACCTGTTTCACCCATCCCCCCCTGCCCACCTCCCCTCTGGTAACCCTCCATTTGTTCTCTATAGTTAAGGGTCTGTTTCTTGGTTTGCCTCTCTTTTTTTTCCCTCCATGTTCGTTTGTTGTTTTTTTTTTTTTTTTTTAAAGATTTTATTTATTTATTTGACAGAGAGAGACATAGCGAGAGAGGGAACACGAGCAGGGGGAGTGGGAGAGGGAGAAGCAGGCTCCCCGCTGAGCAGGGAGCCTGATGTGGGGCTCGATCCCAGGACCCTGGGATCATGACCTGAGCCGAAGGCAGACGCTTAATGACTGAGCCTCTCAGGCGCCCCCCCATTTGTTTTGTTTCTTAAATTCCACATATGAGTGAGATCATATGCTATTTGTCTGTCTTTGACTGACTTCGCTTAGCATAGTAGTCTCAAGCTCCCTCCACGTTGTTGCAAATGGCAAGATTTCATTCTTTTTGACGGCTGAGTAATATTCCATTGTATATATGTTTCTCATTTTTAAAGAATAAATTGGGCTGGAGGATGGTTGTATTCTCAGTGTTGCTATCACTAGAGATTAGCAGGATTCTTGGCTCTACAGAGCTGAGGGATTTTCTTTGTCTTTGGTTGAAGCCTTTTCCCTTTGCTTCCTCAGCCTCTCCAATCTGTAGTGGTAATGCTGAGGGAGAAATGATAGTGGTAGGGGAGGAACTGAAGCAGAAGGCAATGTGTAGCTGTAAAACTGGTCAGGTATATTACTGTGCTGTTGGAAAGTACTTTATTACCAGTAGATAAAATAAGATACTTAATTGGCTCTTTCAGGATGCAGCATGATTTCTCTCTCCTCTGGTCTTCTGGTGTGATCATGAGGATTGGCTTATTTTCCCCACGTACTTAACCCAGAAGTCAGAGAATGAAAGCCAGGTAAAAGCAGGAGTAACACCATATGGCATTCTCTTAACCTAATATTTCTGACTCCACATTTTCAGCCCACTGACTCTCCTATTGTCTTGTGAAAGTACTGCAGACTCTTTCAACAGTTACTCTGTTCCAAACTGCTATTGCTACTCCATGAAATGCCCTGGATTTGGGCTCTATCAGCCTTGCTGCATAATAACCTACTTCAAAAGTTAGTGGCTTAAAACAACAACTGTGTTATTTGTTAACAATTCTGAATGTCAGCTATTTGGGCAGGGCTCAACTGGATGGTTCTTCTGTGGATCTTGCTTTGGGTCCTTAGACAGCCACGGTTATCTGGAGGCCTGGCTGGGATTGGATGGTCCGAGATGGCCTCACTCATATGTCTGGAAGGTGGTCCTGGTTGTTGGCTGAACAACATGCCTCCAGTAGGATAGCACAGGACTCTCCACATAGGGCAGGGGTTCCAAGAGCAAAGCCCAAATGTACAAATACTTTTCAAGCCCTATTTGCATCTTGGGTGTTGCTGCCCTAGGGCCAAAGCCAGTCACATACCAAATGTAGAGCCAGTAT